ACATATCTTCAATCAAGCAATAATTATTCGACGACAAGATGCTACAGTTCTCGACTCTATGTTCAGTTGTTTCCCAACTAATCAAAGAGTCGGGGGCTACACAAATACAAGGCTCAAAATTTGACAAATTTTATATAAGCCAATGAGTCAACTCCAGGAGTCATTATCTTCATCTTTGCTTCGGAACAGACATTCTACTTCAACAACTTCAAATATTTCGGTTTAGACGAGTTGGGCAACAACATCAACTCTCCTCCAATTATTTGTCTTCACGGTTGGCCTACTACGCAACTGCCGATAGAGGATCTCATCGTTATCATCGGCTGCTACATCGCTATTGACTGGATCACCGACATCGTCATCTTCATCAACATCTTGTCAAGCCTCATCAACATAGCCAACTCTGCTGCCGTTGATGGGAAACTTCGTCATCATAGTCGGCTATCTCTGTTGCCGCTAATCATCATTACCGTCGGATGCGTTTGTCGCCGCCGATTATTTTCTTCATCTTCATGATTGGTGGATTTCGCCATCACCGTTGATGCGCGTCTACGTCTTCATCGTCGGTTTGCTTTTGTCACCACCGACTGTTCTTTCGTTGTTGTTGGGCGCCTACATCTTCACTGCTAGCTGACCTGACTGTTGCCGACTGGTTTCTTCACCTCCGTGGTTATGCAACTTCATTACATTTGATTGGTGGCATCTTTACTACCACTGACATCTTTCGTTACTTCTGATGAGCAATTTCGTCTTCATGTTGGTCATTTCATCTCCATGCCGACTGCATCAGCTACCATCAATGGACAATTTTGACTATGACAGAAGGACAAGCTATATGCTCAGGGGCTCATCAACTCAAGCGTGAGGATTATATCTCCAATTTGGACTTGTTCCGGATACATTCCACATGGATTCATAGTCATGAGTCTATTTTCTATGCTCAAAGACTGGACCAATTATTATTCCCCGTAAGGGCTATCAACCGAATACTTGCGCCAGTCGGGATTCAATTATTATATTTATTTTTGGAGTATCCCATAAGGGATAATCATTCAGATCAGAAGCTATTCATATGAGCTACACTTGGTCTATATTACCCGGAAGATTTATTACTCAGGAGCATGTTACATGCGTCATCCTTTAAAGGGTGTCGAAGGCATATTTTTTGGCCTAGGCCTAATATGTCTGCAGCCCATATTTTCAGGTGTGGCCTGTCACGTTCTTTTAGGGACTTAGGCACTTTTTGCTTAGGCCAAAGTGCGCGTGATCAAGTGCCCAATACCTTAAAATCCTTTTATACCGCAGTTACTTAACTTTTTAGGAGTTGGTACAATGCATCTTAAAAGGTGTCAAACAGTAAAGCTTTATATAGCTGGCCCGCTGACTTTTTTATATAGTCATGGTGCTGTTTGGGTTTTTAAGCAATTGATTGGATACAATATCATTGCTTTTTGCCACGTAAGTGTGCATTTTTATTGACCAATATTATGGCTTAGGCTGATTATATATTGTGGTCATTTTCTAGGCGGTTGGTAAATCCTTTATGAGTTTATTTACTCGGATTTTACACCACATATGCCATATATTTCCAGGTGTGGTGAAACCATGTGTCTTCTAGGGACTTAAGTACATCTGTTAAAGCAGTGTGCGCATGGCGTATGCCCAATACTTTGGAAATTTCTTTATTCACAATATACAAGCTTCTTTATAGCTATTTTGCTATATCACTCATCATATTTTACAAAGCGGTTGGTATATCACTCGGATCATGTTATTTGGAGGATTCACACCGCATATGCTATATATTGATATCAAGTCACTTGGTTGATTACGATTATCAAAACCACTCGGTTGGTTGGATTATTTATTCCTTGACTATATGCTTGGTTTGTTCAATTAACCACATTGTCGGGGGCTACACCTATTAGGTGCATCTAGTCGGTGCACCTGACTTTATTTTCCAGCCCTCCACAGTCTTCAGATTTGGTAAAAGTACTCGGGAGACCATGACAAAGATAATTGAAGCACTCGGCTTTGGAGTAATCTGGTTCGAGAGAAGATTATCTTTTCGACTGCGAAGGTCTCAGGGGCTACTGTGGATATTGTGGGTACCCCATACCCATACGGCATGGTTATCCGACTAGTCATAGGGGATAACTTATATCTATGGAATATGTAATAGATCATGACTCGGGTATTACGTTTCCTTGTATATTACGGAACGGCCTAAAGTCCTGGTTTGATAATATTGTAAAGTAGATTTAGGAAACCGATACCGTATTGGTTAATGTTTCTATCTTGTAATCCTGCCCCCCATCCTATATAAGGTGGGCAGGAGGCCCTCTAGGGGGCAGATGACATAACCTGATCGTCAGATCAATACACACTCGGCGGATTCAAATCCCCAAACAGGAGTAGGGTATTACCTCTCATTGAGAGGGCCTGAACCTGTCTAAATCCTTTGTCTCTGCATCCATCCACTTTTAGGTCTCGTGCGCTACCCCCTTTTATTATTGCCGAATCCATGTTTCGACAGATTCGTCGTCAACGGCGCGGCCCGGGCCGGGGAACACCTGGGGTACGGCAGTAGTATAGCATAGCAGCAGTAGTCAAGCGGTGTTGGGTGTTGGTGTTGTACGGCAGCCTGCAGGGGGGCCAGAGTGGTGTGGACGTGTTGGCAGTGCGCGCCATGGTTGGTTTGATTTTCGTTTCTTCCAGAGGGGGGGTGGTGGGGTTGAGCGCAACCAACGGTTTTTTTCTCTTTTCTAAAAAGGAAGAAAACGATTCCGTCCAGCGATTTTGTGCTCCGCTGCTTTTGGGCGATAATTTTGTGATCTCTGGGTGGTTGGTATGTCGAGGTTGTAACACGTTTCTTTTCGTGTCGACACTAAGGCCCTCCAAGACGAAAAATTTTGGCATGTCACATCATATATATGGATAAATATTAAGCGTAGTCTAATAATAAAATAAATTACATATTCCGCCTATAAATTGCGAGACCAATTTATTAAGTCTAATTAATCCGTCATAGCAAATATTTACTGTAGCATCACATTGTCAAATCATGACGTAATTAAGCTTAAAAGATTCGTCTCGCAATTTACACGCAATCTACGTAATTAGTTTTTTTTCTTGTCTATATTTAATATTCCATACATGTGTCCAAACATCCAATGTGATAGGGTAAAAAATTTTTGTTTGGAAGTAAACAAGGCCTAAGTGTCCCTTTGATTTGGAGGAAAAACGTAAAATTTTAAAGTTTTTCAAGCCTATAGGAAAAATTTATATGAATTGATTGAATCATATCATATCCTTTGAAATTCGTATGGGATAGACAATCCTACAAAGATTTTGGAGGAAATTTAGCAAAAGCTCTTACCTCTTGGAAATTTTATTTTGAGTCTATCTCTCTTATTTGATTTCTATGTTTTTTTACATGTTTTGCAATTTTGTTTTACACTTAAATTATATCAAAATCATATGTTTAATTCTCTGTTTTCTCCTATTTATACTTATGCATAGGGCTGAGCTAAAATACATTTGCAAATTACATAGTACTAGTATTTTTGTAAGATTAGTATTTTAATAGGGATTATGGAGTGACTCTAATCCTTACCTATCCTATGCCGTCTCTGCCCATGGTTTGATGGACTTAACTGAAATGGTGGTAGCAAATGTCAGAAGTAGAAGCACAAAGCATATTGGGATGCCTGTTTTAAACGTGGGATTTCTTTTCTATTTTTTTAGTTATTTCATATGAAATTCTTTGTAAACTCGTGCACTCTAAATCGTTTTGTGAGTCACATCACTTCTCAGGCCCGCCACCTTGTTTTAGGTGATTACCTTAAAATGACAATAAATCTGTCCATTTCAACTCGATTTTTTTCAATATTTCTAGTTGACAGACAGTGAACCCATTTTTGGTACCAGTCGAGAAATTGTGGTGGTGACAACATTGCCATATGAATTATCCAGCTCAAAAGGAATTTGAAGTGTATACAATAATAACCTGACAAAATTATTTTGAGGGGATCAATTCCATTGCCTCCTTGAGCAATCTATGACCATGAATTTTCAGTTGCAAAGTTGGTTTATCAGCCACATGGGATGGGACTGAACCCTAACCATAAACTAGGTGGCAAACGCACTGATGCAGCTGTCTCCTCCTCCTCCACTGTGTGAACCATTTTTTATAGTGCAGCTTTTGAGCCTGAAGAGAGAGGGCATCAGCAAGCAATCAAGCACTGAATCATCACTGCACAACACAACAACTCTGGCTCACAAACTCTGAACTTTTTAGGTTGGATAACGCTGTTGGTTTCAGCGTTTCAGATGACAAGAATAACAAAGAAATATCTCCTCCAATTTGCAGTGAAAACGAACGGCAAGTTGACAGCCACATCAAGCAATGACACTGCACATACATAGACCACTATGATCAGTATTGACAACCACAGTATCTACAGAAAATTTTCAACTTTTTTTCGTCAGAGTGACACGCTCTTGGTTCTTTCTTTTCCCTTTTGTTTCACATCACAAGAGGGACCAAATGGAAAGCAAAATCACAAGATATCCCAATAGGCCATGGTTCCGTGTGCAATCTACCTTGACCTGTTGATGCGCAAGAAAATGGCCTCTTAACTGCAGCATCACCAGTGTCTCCCCACATATATTCCAAAGCCAAATCTATTGCCCAGAGAAGGGAGAAAAGAAAACAGTACCAACCTTGCATAAAGGTTCAGGAACCCATGCACAGATGTACATGTATGTACTCTCTCTGATCTCTGCTTCTGCAAGAAATGCATGTCCTTTTAGTGCATATCATGTCAATCTTCTCAAAACATTAAGCGTTAAGCATCAATATCTCTTTAAATATTTAGATTGGACACATGAAAAATTTATGGGTAGATTTTATATCACCAAATGCTACTCTTTCCATTTCAAAATACTTACTTTTTAACATGTTGTTTAATGTGTTGTATAAATTTCTAAAAAAGAATTATAGTCAAAATTAAGAATGTTTGGCTTAGCACAAAACAAATATTTTGAAGAGGAGGGAGTAATACTTTTACGATATACATTACAATTTTTTCCATGTTATACATACATGTTGCAATAGGAAAATGGTTAGCCAAAGTTTGTACTCCCTCCATCGCAAAGTAATACCCGATTGGACACATTCTATTACGAATCTGGACCAGTATTAGGAGAAAGTATTATTTTGTTAACCATTATTAAAAAAAATCAGTCTCCCAAAGCTGCCACCTTTGCTGGTTTTCTTGGTTTGTTCAGTTTGTTGCTTGTGTGTCCCCCAGTTGCATATAAACATGGGCATGTCACACCTCACAACCCCCCTTTGCTTTGGCCATTTTCTCAAGCACCTAATTTGCTTGGATCCTTCTTGCACTTGCAACTTGCAAAACAACCAAAGGAAATACTAGTAGCATCATCAAGCGAAGAAGGTCAGCTCAAAAGGGCGTTGTGTGCTTCGCCTCGCGAAATGAGAGTCGCATTGCTCCGGAGATGATGGTCGCCGGAGTAATCAGGAGCAACCAGGATGGCGGCGGCGGCGGCGGGACGGTGTCCGGTGCGGCGAGGATTAGCCCGGCGGTGGTGTTCGTCCTGGTGATATTGGCTGTGGTGCTGTTCGTGTCCGGGTTGCTGCATCTTCTTGTCAGATTCTTGCTCAGGCGCGGCCGTGGGCGAGATGGCGGCGGCGGCGGCGACGCGGAGGCGGCGGAGGGTGTGGAGGAGTCGGCGTTGCAACGGCAGCTGCAGCAGCTGTTCCACCTGCACGACGCCGGGCTGGACCAGGACGTCATCGACGCGCTCCCGGTGTTCATGTACCGGGAGGTGGTGGTCGGCGTCGGCGGCGGCGGCGGCGCGGGCGGCGGAGCCAAGGAGCCGTTCGACTGCGCGGTCTGCCTGTGCGAGTTCGCCGGCGACGACCGGCTCCGGCTGCTGCCGGTGTGCGGCCACGCGTTCCACATCGACTGCATCGACACGTGGCTGCTCTCCAACTCCACGTGCCCGCTCTGCCGCGCCGCGCTCGGCGCCGACGCCGCCGCTCTGTTCGACGCCGCGTTCGACGAGATGGCCGACGAGGAGGACCGGAAGCAGCAGGAGGACGCCGTGTTCCCCGTCCGCCTCGGCAAGTTCAAGAACCTCTCCAGGGCGGTCGGCCCCGTCCACGACCGCGACGACGCCGCCGCCGCCGCCGCCGGCGTCGGCGTCGGCGGTGGCATTATCACGCGAGAGGAAGGCGAGTCGAGCAGCAGCAGCTTGGACGCCAGGCGGTGCTTCTCCATGGGCTCCTACCAGTACGTCCTCGCCGAGGCGAGCTTGCAGGTGTCCGTACACCGGAGGCACGGCGACGGCAATGGCAGGGCGAGGCTGAGAGGGCTCGCCGGCGCCAACCCGGCCGGCAACGACGCCGCCGCCGCCGCCGACGGGAAGAAGATCGGCGCCGGCAGCAAGGGCGACAGCTTCTCGGTGTCCAAGATTTGGCAGTGGCCGCGGCAAGGCAAGGGGAAGCTGCCGGTGCTCGCCTCCGACGACTCGCCGGCGGTGGACGGCCGGCTGCCGTGGCCGAGGAGAAGCCCCGGGGCTTCCTGATGCTGATTTCCATGGTGTGTTTGCAATTTGCAAAACTTTTTCAGAGCTAATTCTGCTCATCTTTTTAACACCGTATTAATCAATCTGTTCATAGCCAATTCGTTCCATTCTACTTTTGCTGTTCGATTGCATCACCTCGTGTGTTCATGATGAACAAATAGCTTCATATAGAGGATTTCTTACTCTGCAGAATTAGTATTGGTAGTTGCAATACTAAACAAAAGAGGCTAAATTTATGAACAAAAATACTAGTTTATTTCCTATGGGCTATGGATATCCACCATTTGCAACGCTGGAATAACTGCACTTTGCCCTGAAAGAAATGCCTGTGGGCCAATCAGCCAATGTGGTAGAGTTGATCAAACATTTAAGTAAGAACAAGTACTTGTTTTAATAGTAGATTCTTGTTGTCTTAGCAAGCAACTGCTTGTACACTACTCTTTGCTTTATCTTCAAGTACTTTGCAAGTTCTCCACAACTCAAGCTATCGTTAGTTTACACGCATTGACGCATAGGATTGTTTTCTGACGATTGAAAATAAACGGTTTAGCATTTAGGCTTAATTTAAGCTTCCTTTCTATAATACTTGAGCAGTTGAGCTGCTGTTGCAGAATTTCAGGATTGTATCAAACTAATTTTTCTTCGCAGTTTTCCTGCCAAGCAACAACCATTAGAGTCATCTTGTAGTTATTAATTTTTGTTTTCAGGATCTCCTGTTGATGATGACAAAGAGAGAAAGGAAAAAGGAAAGAAACACACAAGTCATGCCAGTTTAAGCCTACCAGTGTTGGCCTCAAGAAAAAAAAAATACAGTACTACAGTACTACTTCCTCCATTTCCATTAACATCAATTTGAATGTGAGAAATGATAGAATGACTTACATTGTGAAACGGAGAGAGTACATGTTAGTTAGTGATAAAAAAAGAACAAGTTAGTTACAGAAACTTTATTAACTGAAGTAATTTTTTTTATCTTAGTTCCAGTGGAGAACACTTTCAAACAAATCTTGTATTGAAAATAAAAAAAGCAAATGACTTCTAAAAAACCTATACCCAATGACTACAATTTCAAAAGGTTGGCGAAGAATTATCAACTAAAACTGTGCTTTATGATGTGGCTTTGGGGGAGTAATTAAATTGGCTTCCGGGACAGGTAGGGCGGACGCATCCGCCAAACTGAAGGCAGCATCTGCTATCGATCAAAGATTCAAGCCTGCATTAAAGCTGCAAGATACTTACATTAATTAATCGTGTTATATCTCAGCCACGTCTCGTCTTATTGCTTGGACGGGAGCGTTTCGAAACGGCCGAAAGCGATAGACACAGGCTAAGTACTCGTGCACTAGTGCTCGTTCACTTCGGTACAAGGGAGGGTTTATCGCCTGCAAACTGCAGCATGTGAAGAGCTGGTCCTGAGTGAGTGTGGTTATGTGTCTTTATCCGATATTAAATGAACATTAATTAGCTGTACTAATCTTGTGATAGTGCTCAGGGCGTGTGCGCTCTCAGGTCCAAAATGGGAGAAAAAAGTTTGGCGGGTTCCATTGAAAACTTGTAACGACGAGTGTTTGCAAAGCATGGCAATCTTGGTAAGAGAGGGCATATTTTGGACTAGGGGTGGAAAAAAACGCCGAAGCTTATGACAATGGGTCGGCTCAAACTATAGTCGTAATGAGTCCAGCAGAGCTAGTTTTCATTTTTCTTGTAAGCTAAACAAGCGACTCATTTAATAACTCGCTAGTATAAAAGATCACTATATACTTACTAGTATTTTAAGTTACATCTAAAGTATCTGGCATCAATATGTTAGTATACGATAAATAGACAAATTTAAAATTATAAATGTTGACATAAACAAGATAGAACTTACTATTAACGAGCCGAGCTAGGTTTTTAAGCTCGTCAGGGTTAACAAGACAAGCCAGCCAGGGTCAACAAGCATGGCTCATATAACGAACTCAAACAAGCCGAGCTACCTCGTTATCTAGTACCTGTTTTGGATTAAAGGGCAAGGTCCCCTTCGGAACATAATTTTTATAGGATTTTGCCAGTAATTATTTCAAATCCCGCAAAATCCTTCAAAGATCCTCCGTTCCAAAGGAGGTTTGAAATTTTGTGCTGCGCTGCTTGCTACTGACTTGTGAGTGGTGATGACCGAACAGACACACAGACACTAATGCACACACTAGACGGGCACCCCATCCATCAGGCAAAACATGGGGCAAGGCAAGGTGTCAAATGACAATAAAGGAGGCTTTCTGGAATCTGAACAGTCCTGCTATTAGTACTGGAGCAGTGGAAGCAACTATTCAGGGATGGTGCTGATGCTGAGACACCGATGAATGAATCATGGATAAGGGGATCAGCTTTCACAGGATGTACCTCGATGGCCAGGAGACTCGAGTGCTTTACCAGGTCATATTTTGTCGAGCATCTCCTCCGATTCATGATGAGTTTGTCTGTGACAGTTAACAGGGTTATCATTCCACAATTTCGGCTTGCATTGCATCTGGGAAGAGATGACGGGAGTCCTCATTCCAGATATTTTATCAAGAAATTGCAGCCCGATAGTTGTGTAATGAAATAATCTGCCACCGGATAAAACAATAAACCAATTCTGGATGGTTTTCTTTTCCTTTTGTGCAGATTATAAAGTCTTTCCAGCCAAAAAAAATGTCCAGTTGTCCAAAATATGCCAGTGGGGTTTTACCATGGAACAGGTACGTAAACCCAAAAAAACAAATAATTACATTGAACAATATCATGATACAACACATTCCTTTGCTGCCTGAAATGAGGGGGAGGCTGAAAATTTTAGTTATCCTCAAGTGATATACAGCACCATATGAATACATTTTGCCAAAACTGAAGATGTAGCATTAATTGCTGCCGGCTACTATACAATATAGAAAGGAAGAATGAATGGCCAAAACCAGCTAAGTCGTGTACATAACTCACTAGAAGGCAAGCAAAAGGGGAAGAGCAGAAAAAAGTAAAAAGAAAAACTCGCCTTTGCTTGCAGCAGTTGGAAGAGCTATCACAACATTATAGACACAGGTCAAACTACAATCCAGCAGGAAAATTGTTGATTTGCCCTTGCTCCAGCCTGTCCTCACCGTTCACTTTGTAAGTTATCCGGATACGCATCGCAAGGGGTTTCTGTGCGGTAAAATTCAGAAACGGAGATTAGGAATCACAAGTCTAGAAAGAATATTGAACCTTAGTGATGGACTGTTTGTGCACCAAATAGTTGTCTATGTGGAGGATGGTAGGACTGACTACGGGAAGCTTTAGTGATGGATCATAAAATCCTAATTCTGCTCGCCTGATATTGTATGATGCACTAAAATATGCATAGATGACGCAACTAATTCCAGATATAACAGCAACGAACAATGTATACTTACGGATCATACTGAATAAAAGCATGGAAACATGACAGGTATAATAGGCAGCTATTCATGGTGGTTGTGCGAATCAGTAAAAACACACATCATCTTCTGTTACTCATGCATACAGCCAGTGCACCTAATAGCAATACTGTATTTTAAACCTAATTATTTGATACGTGTAAGATGAACCTGTAATTGGTAGATCTCCAGAAATGGAGTTTTTACTTGGAGAGTTGAGATGTAATTAAGCTCGAAATATCAATGGCACAAAGGCAAAAGGCAGCATATAGGTAGGAGTTATGACAAAAGCATGTAACCTTGGCACATGGATTAACTCTTGACTTATAATATTCCAACTTAACTACTGAGCTAAAACTGAATCGTTATGGTTACATATGCTCTTTCAAGCTTTTAAAGAAGACTATTAAATCAAAGAAACCAGAAATAGGTCATAATTTGTTTCTGCGGGGCACAACTCCTTTATTACCTGTCCATGTTGGTTATTTGTGACACTGAGGCTTTGTGTAACAGAATCATTTCCACTGGCAGGAAGCGTGTTGCTGCTAGCGGGGTCCAAACGCAACTGGATAAACTGAAATCCAAATTCAGCAGAAATGAAATATAAGCCTCGAGTATTTTGTATGTTTCACAACTACTAAAGCAAACTACAAACTCATCTGAATGATGGAATTTCAAGGTTAAAGTGAATAGCAAAAACAACTAAAAGTATCATGTCACCCACTCCCTTGAAATTTACAAACGTTTTTTATATATTCTAATAACGATATTAAAGGAAACCAAAAGAATACAGATGTGCATAACAGGCTATCAGCCATCACAATGATGCTTGAAAATATAGATTAAAGTATTCTTTTAAAAATTAAATGGCCAGTACACAGAGTTTCAAACTGTCAGAAAAAGGAAAATGCAAATAAATAACCTCCTCAATAGATGGTTTTTGGTATTTCAAGCCAAGTAATAGTTATACAAATTTTATACAGAAATTAAAACAGATAAATAAATAGTTGGTTCTTAAGTCCTAACTTTTTTACTAAAAATTCCATTTCTGACCAGTTAATATGAGCATCAGAGGTGACCCCAAAACAACAGTTTGAAGGTAATACCTTTGGTACAGCTGCCTGAAAGATGAAATCCGTGAATGTATTAGATGTCAAATTTGTAAAGCTAGCATGAATTGTAGTCTCCTGAGGTTTTCCAGACTGCTTCTTAAAATTGAAAGTGATCTTCAAAGCTGCACTCTGGAAAGCTGTGATTGGCGGGTAAGCTGTATTCTCATCTGGTGAGCAAGCAAGCATAGCAACAGTAAATATCATAATCATTTGTAGTGCTCCATAATGTTAGATAATAGTAAGGCAGTAGGATCTGACCAGAAAGAGATGTGCTTGAGGACAAACCATCAAGAAGATCCACAACTTGGGGTGTAACAGGTGCAACTTTAGTCTCAGCTGCATGGTATTAAGATAAGTAAGCTTGGATCAGCAACATATGAAAAACATGCAAATATTATCATCATGATAACTTTTACCTTGACCAGGAAGGCTAAAGTTTGATACTGTTGGTGGGCCATTTTGTACTGGAGAAGAACCAATTGATAGAAGATCCATCAGAATATCTGTGCTTGCTGATGGAGCTCCACCTTAACATAAACCAGAAACAAAACCGTGAGCATTATACACCACAAACTGTATGATTAAGGATTCAATGCCATGTCCTAAACCATCCAAAACAGAACAATATGTAGGAAAGCTTCCTCATCAAACAAATATTACTGACATAAATGAGTATCAAATGTGAGAATATGAGCATCACTTGCTTCACTTGTCAAACCAAATATGTACTGAATGAACAAAAAAGTAAGATCAAAACCTGCTGTAGATGTATCAGTCAAGCCTATGCCCAAAAGATCCTGTAGGAAATCATTAGGTGCTGTAGTAGGGGCGGAAGTAGTCGCAGGAGCATCGTCAGAACTTAAATCAAGCAAATCAGCTAGAGGAGCCGGTGGTGGCTTTGCTACACCATTTGGAAGCTTAAGCGAGCTTCCAGGAGTTGCTGCAGCAGCTAATTTATCTGATGAAATAGTTGCTTGTGTGGAAGCAGCTCTCTTAGCCAAGTAACTAGCTTCATCTATCACAGGCATCCGCTCAAGCAAAGATGATCTGTTCATACAACAGCATCCTCAAGGTTAATCTATCTTACAGAAACAAATATATTAGAGAAAGCACCCACAGCAATGGCAGAATCTGTCACCCACTTTATAGACTGATGCCTCTGTATAATGGAGTTGAATTCAATTGACCTCTGTTGTAGTTCAAGCACAGTATTCCCTTTATTCTGTGCAACTATTTCCTTTATCCTCCTGGCAATAAGATAACAGAGTATGGTGACAAAATGCAAACCATCTTGAGATAGATATCACAAATCACGCTACTTATATTAAAATATTTGCAAGAGGATCAAAAGAATACCACACAAAGACTAACAGAAACTTCAAACAAAGGGTTGGTACATTAGCTTTGTTTTTCCATCACAAGCAAAGTTGTTTGGTGCTAAAATCATATTTGTATCCATGTAAAGAAAGGTAAAGTGAAATGAAGAGAGATTTGTTACCAACAAGTATGGCAATCAGCTCGTGAACATTTCAATGTTATTCAGTATGTTAATTAACAAGAAACCAGTTCATAAGAAACTGAGTGACCTACAAAAATGTTTGAAAACAAATAAATATTTCCTTCTTCGTGGCAAGTTTTCATTATATAATAAGCACAGGCAGTTTGTGCTCATATTAGGACAAAATCAGAATGGGATGATCCTGTGGCAATAGCTGTTCTACCTCAGATCAATCAATAACATGAAACCAGAACGACTGAAATAATTAAGATAGCTATACAATTCATTTACTACTACAAGGTCAAGTTAAATGATAACTTACTCTGAAGTCGGTGGGAATCGGGAAGAGAGCTTCAAGAGAGATACTAGACACATAGCCCGAGTTGTCACGTCTGCAGAGTATCGTTTAAGAGAGACCTCTACAGCATCCACGGCATCAGATTCTGTTACCTGAACAGGTTACACAAAAAAACCAAGCTGTTTTAAAATTTTTAAACTGGAAAAGCAATGGTACTAAACGAAAAACATACTGAGAAGCACCAGCATACACTGGAAAAGCATTGAACTAACAAACTGACGAATTCTATAAAGCATTTCGTGGTGAACCATCTACAAAAGACATGTGGATAGGTGGAAATGATTTATCATGTAGCTTTTCCTTTTGACCATCATTACATATAGCACTTGTAATTCGGTAATTCCAAGTTGATCGTTACAAGAGGTATTATGAGACACTTTTAGTGTGTCTAAGAGTTATCACTTATCAGTCCTAAAAATAAACTAAGCCAAATTGAAAGCATCACATGCCTGAACAAGAACTGCAGTAATGTTTAATTGCATCCTGACTTCTTGGCAGAAGCATGCAGCCAATGAGAATGGTGGCAAGAATTGTTAACTCACCGTGATTGGTTCCTCTATGTCCAGCATACCAACATTGTTCACCAGCATTTCACCATACTCACCAATGCACCATACAGCTACCCTAACCAAACTTTCCTAAATAATTCAATGTAGAAGAGATTCAGGTATGTCAGATAAGTAGCAACTCAATGGTATAGATCATAAAGAAGACTGACTATTTCTCCATACCTGTTCACCGCAAGCTAGCAATGCCTTGTATAATGATCTCACTGAGTATCCTTGGAGTTCAGATGCATTGCTTATTAAGACTATTAGAGCATGCCATACATCGTCCTTCACATAATTTCCAGCCTGAGGATGTACAAGGTAACATAATTCAAACAAAATGGATTTTTACTGATTGAACGGTGCAAGAGAAAATATCCCCATAGTTGTGCTTCTGTACATACCAGAGATAAAACCTTGAACATCTGGTCTAAGTACCAAAGTTTATCTTGGGAAAACCTATTTGAAATGCTACATTATTATTGTCCATAAATCAACAGGAGACAGAAAGGTATAAATCAACAGGAGAAAAAAACAAAATTGAACAAATATAATAAAGGGACAACACAGGTAAATGTCGTAAAATGAAATACTTGTTTTATAGGCTTATAGCCTGTTAACTAAACCAATGCAGAAGATAGTGTATTATGTTATGTTGATCTGACATGATTATTATCCTCCTGATAGAACTATGTGCAAATCCTTTGCTATGTAAAGAAAGGTTAGGAATGATATGAAAAGGAAGGAACTATGTATTCTCGTTAAACAAATTGTCTACCCTTATTTATATTTCCCTTTGCTCCACTTGGGGTAGGAAATAATACTGTACCGTATGTGAAGTTTCACCATTAATTGTATAGGATGAGTATCCTTTTTGATTGTCTGTTACGTTTCAAAATGCATGTAACAACAGGATACAAAGGACCTTTGAAACATTTACAGAATATGCAACTAAGAGTTCTTACAAAACTAGTAGAGATGACATCCACGAAAAATTGACCCTGAATCAAGTCGGTCAGTAAAAAAAAAGATAAGGAGGGGGTTATGCTACGTCAAGTCTTACTTTTCAACAATTGAGCATATCTTTGCTGTGAGGTCGTCCTTGAAGTCCTGATCACTTACTTCCAGGTAATCAACAAGCTCCTTGGTCAAAGATTTTGCATTTGCATCGTTGACAAGAAGGTAAACAAGTTCAAGGGCCCTTTTGCGAATAGATACATCAGCATCCTGGAAAAACATCAGCAGTTACGAATTATTGAAGTGTAAAAGAAAAGGAACAAGAAATCTGGTAACAATAAAGTGAAAGTGAATAGTAGGCACATCAACAACGCAAACTGCAGTAGACATAAAAACTATGGCAATGCTGTTTTTTTCTTTAAAATGATCATGCAATCATCATTTACTACGGGATCAAGCAGAAGAAATTTTCCTTAATGCACTCGGCTAAACCTGACTAGAAATGCAAGAAAGGAGGATGGTCTGCACTTGTCACTAGTTATGATTAGCTGTAGTCTCAAGAAGTGCGGAAATAAACAGTATACTTTCAGGAAGCTACCATAGGTGTGTCTCAGAATTTTACATACATGAGCATTATTTTACTTCCCTAGAGGAATGAGAATAAATCCAGAGCACATTAACTGGAGAATTTACCTTGACACACTCTAATATTGTTGCTCTATGCCTCTGCACTGCTTGCGTGTCTACCTCCATGGCCTTCATAAGCATGTTCAGAGCAACATATCTGAAAGCACAGTATGCACACTGAGAATTATCTCTCATATGGAAGAATATTTTACTAGTCAAAACACCTAAATCATACAAATGTGTTATTCCCTCCATTTCATATTAGAAGGCATTTTAGGTTTGTCCTAAGTCAAACTTCTTGAAGTCTGACCAAGTTTATAGGAAAATGTAGTAAAATCTACAAAACCAAATTAGTTCCACTAAATCCACCATTGAATATATTTTTGTAGTATACTTTTTTGGGTACGGAATGTTGCTACGTTTTCCTATACTAGCTGAATGCCCATGCGTTGCAACGGGAATTAAAAGAAGACTTTAAAACCTCAAACATTAAATAAAATGGTCCCATTGTAAATCATTCACATCATATTTTTCATCATTTTGTATATCACTTTAAAATAAATTTTCCTTGTGTGATGGCTTCTGGTTGGGGAAGGGATAAAAGTCCACCTATCTCACTATTTGGGGACCCACAAGGTAGTGGTGGTAGGTGGTGGCAGATTCACCACTCACCACCACAATTAGGGTCTTTTAAAGGAGTATAGAAACTTGGTCCAATTCATAGTACAACTTACTCCTATAATATGAGGGAGTACAAAAGTAATAGTCCAATTCATAGTCAATCATAAGCACCAAGCAGTAGTACCTTGAAGTTTGGAACAATGCTCAGGGTAAGTAACCCATTGAATTACAAGAAAATTAACTAGCAAACTTTTACTTTAAACCCTTTATTCACAAAAGTTAAGAGGCTTGAACATCAGTTGTCCAAGAGAAAAGAGTGAATTACCTGATGTTATTATCACGGTTGGACAGAAATCTACCCAAGATATTGATTGCCAGCACACGTAAACCACTAGTAGCTTCGATGCCCATTATAGTCTCAACACATTCATATAAAATAGCATTTCCTGCGTTCTTATTTGACTCAGTTTTTGTTGCAACCTGGAAATGCAATGCAAATAATTCGATATAAGATACAGAGCACAGCTGCGGGAAAGAAGACTTCAACAAAAAACATGGTTTACTAAAAGAATAATTCAACAATGAGAAAAACATAATCATATCACTGAGTTCTTAATCCAAGAGTAACAAACTAACAATGCTACAAGACCTAAATAAATATCTGGGATTAGTACCACTGAAGACGCTCATTTCGATTTACAATACATTAATAATAATGCAATTTGTGAGGGTGTAATGATCATGAACTGTCTACAAAATGATCAGAACAGATGTGATTTGCATAGTGAAATTTCTGTTGTGTATAAAATAAAAACAAACAATTCACCTGAGCAAGAATATCATTCACAAACTCACTGCAATCTGCATCTCCTTGACCCAAAATTCGCATGAGCTTAAGCACTCTGATATGCAAGAACGGATCCGTAATTCCAGCAATGTCATATTCAGGAGCATATGAACTATTGGACACATCTCTCAGTATTCTGACCAAACCATCAAGGCAGTTCTGTAGAACGAAAATTTTATCAGAAGTACTGCCGCAAATGAATACATTAGTTTGATATGATATTGTAGGTATCAGCAACCAACAAAGTGAACACACTATGCGATAGAACACAAAAAAATCCTGCCTCTTTCAATGAACATGGTATTGGGTCAAGTGTCACATACATAAACAATGATTAACTATTATACTAATGCTTTTAAACGACTCTGTAGTGTCAATGGCTCAATGCATCATCAAATGAATTATGAGGAGCAGGAATTGGGGTTGACAGTTTGGAATATATAGGATGCTAAATAAGCAGGGATTTAGCCATAGGTTATTAGTCCCAAGTCCCAACTGTTAACTAGTCTGATGGATCTGAAAATTCTATGGTGGTGATTCCAACCTTTAGCCGGAATAATTCATTATTCAGAAGAAACGAATAAAATCACCAAACTCTGCACTTCCAGTATTCGGCAAACATCATCTCTAGTCTTCCTATCAACCACGACCACAGGAACTTGGGGACTGTACTGCATTCCCAGCTTTCCCACCAAACATCATAAAACCATCGGACAAAGGATTTTTTGTACAGTTAAAAGATATACAGCAAGTGTGTCAACGCCTCAACAGACACATCACCAGAAACCCTATTATCTACTATTTGTGCCTACACATGGATGTTTGGATGTTCAAACATCATAAATACCACACTGGGAAAGCAACAAATGGTTCAACAAGACTAAATCAACAATACTCGTATGATTTTAACTTGATACGTTCAAAAAGGTATAAGTTTCAAGTCAGTAATTTGGGCATCGGAGACAGTAGAGTGGCAGCTGGCAGTAATTAGATATCAAGAATCTGATGATTGGTAAGAGCAAAAAAACTGAAACAAATAAGACAGTTTGGTATTATTCCAAGGGCTTTACTGAAAGGGTATGCGTTAATATGGAAAGAGGAGATGAAAATAAGTAATTTGTTACATAGTAACTTTGAGAATGCAAACAGAAGGTAATAGGCAGCATTGTCCAAGGAAAAAATATAACGGTTCCTAGAATGCATCGTACCTTCCTCAGGTACTCCAATGCCTCTTTGCTTGCTTTACAAAGTTCTGCGCAGAGCTGAACAGCAGATATGAGAACCCCGTGATGTTTTTCCTTCAGTAGTGAAACAGCAGAGCCCATGAAGTTCTCTGCCAAATCTGGAACCTTCCGTACGATCCTTATAGAGCATAAGGCAGCCTACAAAACAGCCAAACCTGTACAATTAGTATGACAATTCACCTCAAGTATTTCAGAACCAAAAACAACAAAGGCAAGACACCTTTGCAGGGTGAAACGACAGGGAAATAAAAGGCTCGACATGTAATAAGCTTTGAATAATGATGGTATAGACGACAACACCCACAAAACAAAGAATGATTGTTTGAGTTCAAATTGACCTTTGCTAACTTACCCAGAGCATATGCTATGAGCTATTAACCTATCACATTACATTATTACGATTTACAAGTACTAATAAACACAGAACAAGACTCATGGAATGGACATACTGACATCATGCTAAAAACAGACTTCAGTAGAAACTATAACATCAAGTCTAAAGTAAACATATACCTTCTTCTTGGTATTTGGTTCCCTACTTTGCAATAGCCTCTCCACCTCAGGTGACAGATCACGCGCCATTTCAGCGGAGCAAATGTTGCCAAGAGCACAGAGTGCAAGCCCCACAATGAACTGGTTCGAGTGGTTAAGATCTCTGTCCGCGTTAAGTACTACCAAATGCTCAAAGCAGAACATAGCATTCTAAGAAAAATCAAAACAGATATGGAGCATAAGTATAGTATGGGTGGATACTGCTTGAGCGAGTTGGTGACGAGCATGAGCACCTCCTGCCGCTCGTCGAGCAGCAGCATGAGGCCGAGGTACCCGATGCGCTTCTCGGGGAAGCCCGCGGCGGCGATGAGCTTGAGGCACTCCATCTGGCCGAAGTGGGTGGGGTACCCGAGCATGTGGATGAACATGAGCTTGGCCATGTTCCGGTGGCGGTAGTCCTGGTCCCCCTCGCTGATGGCCGCCCGTATCGCCGCGCACTCCCGCCGCACCACCGCCCGCTCCTCCGCCGCCGTCTTGCACGCGCGTATCGCCCGTATCATGTCCCTGCACCACAACCACGCGCGCGGATCTGAGGAATAGGAGGGGATACGAGAGGAGACGCGGGTGGTGATCCATCCGAGGCGAGGGGGAGAGGGCTAACCGGAGGCGGGTGCCGGAGGAGAAGGGGTTGATGGCGAGGTCCATGGCGAAGTCCTCGACGATCTTCTCGACGGAATCCAGGGTGGGGCGACGGGGGAGGGATCTCGCCGCCGCGGGGCGTGGGGGGCGGCGGCGGCGGCGGCGGCGGCCGGGTGGATCTGGGAGGAGGAGGAGTAGGCGGTGGCGATGGTGGTGGTGGTGGTGGTGGTGGGAATTGCGATTTGCGAAGAGGCCCCTCTCGCTCGCGTTGGGGTTCGTTTTTTTGAGGATTAGTTGGGGTGATTTGGGATCTGATCCCCACCACGCTGACCTCACTGGCTCACTGACATGGGTAATTCCAAGTTTCCAACGGTGTCGGGAACTCGGGATAATCAACGTGGTTCACTTTTCATCTTTAGCATTCTTTCTAGGGACTGTAGCATAAGATTTTAGTACCCTTCGATTTTATATGAAATCATAGGAAAATTAGGGAATTTTAATCCTACCGAAAAATTCAAAGCCTTTGAAAGGATTGAATCCTATCTACTCGTGTTGTTTTGAAATTCCTATGGAACAAGAAATCCTATAAAAAATTTGAAGAAAAGTTAGCAAGTGGTCCAACTCCTTAGAAAATTTCCCTTGTGCATCTCTCATTCGATTCCTACGTTTTTTTTCAGCCTAATCAAAATACCATTTATGTGTCTTTCCAGTGTTCCGTAATTTTTTTTTACACTTCCATTCATTTTTTTATTCCTTCGTTTTTTCTAATCATATGCTTCAAATTAGCAATCATTCATGTATTGTTTCCATGTGTTTTGCAGTCATATTTTTCATACACTTGCATTCCTATATTTCTTATCCAATTCCCGCGGTCTACTCAAGCAACCATTTATATATTTTTCTCCTCGATTTTGCAAACATATGTTTTATACTTATATTCCTATCAACATCACGTACTTCTAATTCTCTATGTTTGTCAGTCTTGCGTTTCAATGGAATCCTTAGTGGTATATGAACTTCCTTAGGTGACATTAGATATATAGTACTTATACTTTGTATTTTGTATATCATGAACATAATTGCAACTTGTTTTCCACGGATAAAAATGCCCAAACTATATAGAGGTGACAATAGTGTAAGCACGAGGCGTGCAATGGATTTATAGTAAGTGGTTGTGTCAATTTCAATTGAATATGGCAATATACCGTGTTGTGTTTGTGAGAGTGTATTTGGTAAAAAAAGGTATGAAATTCATCAGTGTGTTATCTTTTAAGTCAAAAGCTTTAATGACAAATGTTTCATCATACACATATAGTTAACCTTGTGGGTATGAAATGCTAAATTAACTAATGCACTAAAATAAGATCAATAACAATTCGTTTGGATTTGTAAAATTTTGACCATCAATTCAATATTAGAGCAACCTTATATAGTGAACTTATGATATTATTGATAATATTTTTCAACTCAAAGCTAGACATCATTTTTTCTTATTTTAAAACTAAGCACTCGAGAAGTTAATGTTGGTCAAAGCTTTAAAAGTTTAACCAAATATTGTTATAAACATCAAATAATTAATGATTGAACGAAGTAACTATTATAATCTGTGAAATGTTGCCTTGAAATTTTTTGATTTTCTGCTATGAGACTAGGCAATCTACATTTTCAGTCATTTAAACCAAGCAAAATCCCCTGATAGATTACTTTCTGTATGGTGCATACCTAGCATTAATCAACAACTTCATCTCCAGGGAATTTTGGTGATAGGCATCCATAGCTAAAATAAATCTTATAGTTGAAGCTAGTATAAAGTATGATGTTGTGTGGGCCCACATTCCATACTTAAAAGAGACAAATGCTTGAACCAATTTGTTTGTTTACAAACTCCATGTTATACATCTACAGGAACCGAACAGCCCACCTCTCTAACAAGCTTGTAGTTACATAGTAGATAAGACCATAGCTTATGTATGTCTCATAGAGTCATAGAGCGCAAGGCTAACCTTAAAAGGTCTATAGTTTAGTGATGATCAACATGGAACATAGCCCCCTGTTAACCTTAAAAGGTCTATAGATAAAATGATAGAAAAACTAAACACTAACGTCTTCAAAAGGAGAATTGGCACTTTTGTTTTTTATGAAAGCCACCCTGTTTTCAAAGTGATGGCCCCTCCTAGTTCCCTACTTGAGCCTACTACTTATTATGCTGGAATAAAATTGTATGGTAGCTTTGGGTACTTATAATTTTATAATCCCATATTTGATATTGTAAGCCGTTCTAGCTATGTCCCAAGTTAAAGTTAGTTTAACTTAAACAAAACTTATAGAAAAGTAATTGATACACACAATACCAAATAAAATACACCAGATTACATGTTTCAAGGTGGATTTTAGAGATACTAATTTAATGTTGTAGATGCTAGTATATTATTTCTATAATCTTGGTCAAAGCTAGAGATGTTCGATTCAGCACAAAACTAAAAACACCTCATAATAGTATGGAACAGAAGGTGTAATCTTAGCAACTGGTGAATGTATTCTGCCAATGAATTCCTTTTCATATATTTTTTTATGTTGTCATAGGATAAAACTAGAAAAGTATATTTTCATCATTCCACAGGAAAAAGAGAAAAAAAAAGAAGAAATAAAACTGAAAGAGGCCGCCAAGCCCATTATCTGCTGGACGACAACCAACTCGACAGATAAAAATCAGGCCCAGTAACCTGACGCAACCCGGCCCGGCCCATGAACCCACCAAGGTCGGCTCCAATCCTCGCGCGTCGCCGCCATAGCCTGCAGCCGAGCCCCACCTATAAAAATCGCCCGAGCCACCCGATCCCATCGGCTTCCTCCCTCTCCCCCTTCTTTTTTTTTCCCCTCCCATTTTTTTTTTTAATCTCGACACCTCTAAAACCCTCGCGGCAGCAGCGGCCGCCGCGCCTGCCCGCTTCCCCCGTCGCCGCCGACGATGTGGAGCGGCGGGCCGCCGCCGCCGACGATGTGGAGCGGCGGGCCGCCGCCGCCTCCGCCGATGGGGGCCGCGCCGCCGCCACCGGGCACGGGCGCTCCGCCTCCGCCGCCGCCGGCGGCCGTGGGCCCGCCCGGTGGCGTTGGCGGCGGCAAGCCGCTGACGGCGGCGGAGCTCGAGGCGCAGCTGGTGGAGAAGGCGAGGAAGTGGCACCAGCTGAACTCCAAGCGGTACGGCGACAAGCGCAAGTTCGGCTTCGTTGAGGCGCAGAAGGAGGACATGCCACCCGAGCACGTCCGCAAAATCATCAGGTAAAGTCTCCAGATCCGCGCCGAGTTGTTGCCTGTGGATGTGTTTTGGTGTTGTGGTGCTTTGTGCTGTAGTTGTTTGTAGCTTAGGACCTAGGGGGATGATTGTGGTTGCCCTCTCGATTGAGGCTATTTTCGTTACTAGTGTATGATTTGATACGATGTTTGAAATTTATGGCTGTAACTGTGTTAAGTATTTAGGCATGGACTTAGCTGTGATCTGCTGCTTTACCTTATCATCATGTTACTGTTGATATCAGCTGCTTATGTTCTATTGTTACTGGAGTATGAAGAGAGTGAAAAAAAATCAGCCTGATCGGTGCAGCCGCTGCTCTCTCGCTAGTAGCAACGAGCAGCTGCAGTCAGCAGTTCCGTTCACGTCCTATTAAACTGCTTTCTTACAACATTTGGAATGGGATATTGGAAGTCAAGTTTTGATAGTTATGGGAATGTTATGGTTTTTCTAATTAACCCAACTCAATTATGATTGTAGATATTGTGTAATCTAGTTATGGTGGTGATTTTTTTGATTTGCTAATTGTCTTGGCTGTTAAGATGAATCTCTTTATGGTTGGGGTTTGTGCCATTTGTGCCTGATCCTCAGTTATTAGGAATGGTGGCAAGTGACATGTTCTGCTTGAATTTGCTGTCATATATCCCATCTTCACCATCAACTACTGTAGTTCATGTGTATGTTGCGGACAATTTATTTATGATTCTATTTATTGCTGATCAGGGACCATGGTGACATGTCTTCAAAGAAGTACAGGCATGATAAGCGTGTATATCTTGGAGCACTCAAATTTGTGCCTCATGCTGTTTACAAGCTATTGGAAAATATGCCAATGCCCTGGGAACAGGTATATTTATTGTGACACTCTTTGATGTGAACATTGATCTAGCCAAGTAGCTATTGGTGAGATTACTTATACAATGGCAATACAGAATAGAATGACGGAACTCTTGTTTTCAGGTTCGGCATGTAAAGATCCTTTACCATATCACTGGTGCAATAACCTTTGTAAATGAGATCCCATGGGTAGTTGAGCCCATTTACCTTGCACAGGTACTGATCTAAAACACCTTATCTTTTTTTTTTCTTCTTTGCCCTGTTCTGGGAACAATAGCTACTGTACGGATCTGTCATAATTGATAGGCATTATATAACTTAATCTGATCTTTAGCTTTGTACTTCTTATTTTTGTACTTAAACCATCTCAAACATGTGTGTTCCACAGTGGGGCACGATGTGGATCATGATGAGGAGGGAGAAGAGAGATAGGCGACATTTCAAGAGAATGCGCTTTCCTCCATTTGATGATGAGGAACCTCCATTAGACTATGCTGATAATTTGCTGGATGTTGAACCACTGGAGGCTATACAGTTGGAGTTGGACGAGGAGGAAGATTCAGCTGTGCATGAATGGTTTTATGATCATAAGCCGCTTGTGAAGACTAAGCTTATAAATGGCCCCAGCTACCGGAAATGGCATCTATCGCTTCCCATAATGGCGACACTCTATCGTCTTGCTGGCCAACTTTTGTCGGATTTGATTGATCGAAATTATTTCTATTTGTTTGATATGGAGTCTTTCTTTACCGCCAAAGCACTCAACATGTGTATCCCAGGTAACCTTATTGTGTTCCCTTTTATAACTTCTAAGTTTTTTTTACTTTAATTCCTTTAATTGTCATACATGATTAGCATAGTTGTAGCATTGATCTTATGGTTATATCAAAATTTATACCACTTGGTATCTGACTGCTGGCAAAATGTTGTGGAAATTTAGCTTGTGCTAAGAAATGGGTTTATACCAAAACATTTTTTTTTTTGCATTTACGTGATTTTAGTGCATTAATTGTTACTCAATATTTGAAGCATGGAGGAGGTAGTTTATGTCCATAGCTGTTCATTTTTATGGAACATCTGTAACTGTAACATGGGGATTTATGGTAATGAAGTAGTTAATGGCTTTATTAATTA